CTCTTGGCCCTCCACAGACAGAGGAGGAGGAGTAGGTTTAGTGTATCTGTTACAAAGGAGCGGTTTCAACAAGGAGGTGTATGCATGTTCCTAGGAAAATAAAGGTCATATGAAACGGGATTCGTTTTCCTCAAAATACGGAAAGGATCTGGGGACCAGTTTCATAGAAAGAACCCGGAGACTAATGTTACGGGTAGAAAGCCACACCTTATCCCCCACAACATAAGAGGGAGCTGCCCTACTATGCCTATCAATGTATAAAATATGGGTTATCCTATCAGGGAAGAAATGGCACAACATTGTGCAAAATTGTATGTTTAAATTATATAAAATATGTGTCAAATGGCCACTCACAATTTGTAAGAGATAAAAAGGCCTTCAGTATATTAGATGCGGATGTAGATCTATTTGCAGTCTTGAGCTTTGATGGTTCATACGCACTTCGTATTTTGTTTGAACAACATTGATTTGTCCCTGAAGAAATCCCTGGATGGGACGAAACACGTAGGCCTTACCTTTTTGACCTTATGGTGATAACTACATCTACTTATACTAACCTTGATTTAAGTTAATACATTTGCATTGTGCACTTTATTTTGGTCACCTTGTAATTGGATTGCACCTTGTCTAACCTGATTCTGAGATATTCAAAGCTCAAGACTTACAATTGGATGATAAACAAATGGTCCATATTTTATTTTTATGATGCATTTTGATCTAAATGGAATCTCAGTTCATTCTGCCAAATAATTTTGTACCCTCTAACAAATAAATAAAAAAGGTTCCAAATTACTTAACTTCATTAAGACCTACAATTTGTTGGCTGTTTGTTATCTACTTAATTATCAAACTCTAAAATGTAATACCGCTCTGTCTGAATGATGTAGAAAATAAAACTCTGGTATATTTAAAACTTTAATAAGCATTTCAAATTTGAATATTTGCATTCTTTAAGCAAAACTATTAAACCTCGGGTTTTGCCATACTAAAAATACCCAAGCACAATCGGAACGTACCGTGCCAGCTAATTTAACTCCCCATCCCATGATGCTGTAATTAAGGGTGCATGAACATGTACAGCAAGCATGTCAAACCAAATTAATACCCTACCCTCCCCCCAACTTAGCATACTGCCCCCCCACCACCACTCTAATACACTGCCTCCCCCTCCCACTACTCTAATACACTGCCCCATTCCCTCCCCCAATTTAATACACTGTCCCCTTCCCTCCCCCAAATATACACTGTCCCCTCCCTCCCTAAAATTAACACACTGCCCCCTCTCCCCAATTTAATACACTGGCCCTCTCCCTCCCCCAAATTGATTCAGTGCTCCCTGCCTAAAATTAATACACTGCCCACTCCCTCCACCAATTTAATACACTGCTCGCTACCTCCCTCAAATTCATACAACACCCCCTCCCTAAAATTAATACACTGCCCACTCCTTCCACCAATTTAATACACTGCTCGCTACCTCCCTCAAATTCATACAACACCCCCTCCCTAAAATTAATACACTGTTCCCCTTCCCAATTTAACACACTACACAGGAAGGTCCCCCAAATCCCTCTTCCCCTACCTTAAGATGAGACGCTCGTCCTCCAGTTCCAGCCCTGCTCTTGTGCCCTGCACAACACAAAGTGGCCCCAGGGCAGATGGGCTGCAAATATATCCATTGTGGGCAGCATGCGGCCCTTGGGCCGCAAGTTTGACATGCTTGATGTACAGCAATATTGAAGGAATGCCCTTATAAAGTATCTGTCTAAAGATGTCCAGGTAGACATGAGTAGATCCAGTGCAATCAGTTTAGGGATTGGGGAATTACTTGAACTAAGCAAATATGATCTTACAATTACACTTCATATTATTATAATATTATATTATACTTATTCACTAAGTTGGGTGGTTGTGATAATACAAACACAAATCTACCAATATGTGCAATTATTCTGCTGGGATGGGACAGGGTTGGTGGAAGAGGGGCTAGTATTGAAACATGCCGATAAAGATATTTATGTCACGGGTGCCATATTTGGGACATTCTATGCCAGAGCATACATTTACCAGGTTAGCCAGCTGCACACCAAGGTAGCCAACCAGAGAAAAATGCCCCAGAATTGCCAAATACATCTGCAAGCTGATTTAACTAAGGAATTGTTTTATTAAATTTGGGACTGTTAAAATGACTTGGATAATTTTCCAATTTTGCTATTTTAACCAATGTTATCTAAGTTGGTTGTTATTTCACCAAAACGTTCAGTTTAGTGAACCTCTATAATGCTTTATTTTTACATTTGTCAAACATAATATTGTATCAAATGTAAGATGTGCGGATGTGGAGCAACCAGTATATTTGAAAATATGCTGAATTAAATGGGTAATATTTCAGTTATTTATTTCACCCAAAAATGAATTATCCTTTCTAGACAAAGCCTGCTAATTCCGATGATCTACGGCCTTCTGATAAGATATTTTTGTTATATATGTTAAAAAATAAACAATAATGTATTTATGGTTCAAATTATTTTTACTATAAGAGTTTAAAGGTCACACATCCCGTCACATAAATTGTCTGAAATGGATATGGAAAGAGAATGAGCCAAGCTTTTTTTAGACTTTAATAAATGACTAACAGAAAGATTTTGTTTGTTGTATAATGCTTTTTATTAAAGAGGAATTCAGTACAAAGGTTGAACGCCACACAGTAAGGATCATAACATAACAAACATCTGAACAAGACATATATAGAGTGCTACATGATAACTAAATATATGTTTTTGTGTAAATAAACAGAACAGCAACAAACAAAGTGGAGTAAACTTCTAAAAATTAAAAAGAAATTATGGCATCTTGAAATGGTGTGGTTGGAATTTAGTATTATCTTAAATATATAAGCAAAACACAACAAAAAATATTAGTAATAACACCGTAATAATGCAGGTTTTAATCATTTAATCCTTTGTTTCTCAACCTTTTACGGAGAAGTGCCCGTGGACGTCTAAAAAAAAGTACCTCTGCCTCGAGAAAGTAATTTCTATTGATTTAAATTTCATATGAAACATGTAGACGCTTTAAATTTAAATTAATCCCATATTGGAGAACAAGCTAGATTAAACGTAGTATATAATATATTTAAAATAAATATAATGGGACATAATGTAAATTTAATGTGACATAATATGAATATTGTGCATGTAATAATGAGTGAATGAAATAATAATCTGAAGTTTCAAACTTACAAAATGAAAATATAATACACACATAATAGTTACACAAGGAGGACACTGAAACACACACATGTACACTCAGAGGCCATTGACACACTCACTGATAGACACTCTCAGTGATTTGACACAATTGACAAACACACACATACTCTCACGCAGACTCACACATTATTATTTATGTATTATTTTTATTTAATTCCACATAGTCTCACCACTTTTGGGAGAGCTGGAGTGGATCCTGTCTATGGGGTTTAGAGGGGATCTTTCCACTGAGTTCCAGTGTGGGGCTTTTGTAATCATTGTTCTCTTCCAGCACTGCTCCCTTGTGTGCTGTTTAGTGATCATGGGGCCAGAGTGACATCATAAACTGGCTACCGGCATCACAGCAAAGAGGGCAAGGGAGCAGTATTGGAAGAGCAAAAACATCAGGGCTCCCTCGCTACCCACCTTCATTCCCTCCTCTGGGCACAGTACGTTCGAACGTTGTAGGTATCAGGGTGGCGCAAAAAACACAACATGCAGAGAATAGGGAAACACTAGCTAGAATAAAGAGATAGAAAGAGTGAGATATGTATACTGAGCCTGAGAGTGTGTGTGCTTAATGTGTGCCCTTGATAGGGGAGAATACAGAGTCAGTTTATAAGCCAAGGTCAAGGATTCCAGAGATACCAATAAAACAATTAAACAAGCCGGGGTAAAATATACAGAATAGAAGAATGATCAATACGAAGCCAGGACAGTAACCGGAAACACCAAGTAATCATTATGCACTCTCGGGCAATAATAAACCATGACAGGGCAATGATCCTAAGAAAAAGGGAAGTATGTATAGGGAAAACAGCAATACTATTGGACAGTATCATCACCCTTCACCTAATCATATAAAGGGGTGTGACTTGAGAAAGGTAAATGATGTGTCCCACTGATATGATCTTTTAAACTTTTGTTATAACAATTAACTTGGCATTACAGGATCCTGTAACTTTAAAGACTCATGTAGGCAATGCAACGTTGCCATGGTGGTCCGGCAACCTCACATGATCGCCAACATGCAGATGAACACCCAGCGGCCTCTAACTTGGAGGTCGCCAAGTGAGTGGCGTTCAACCTTACCGTAGCGGTGTGGAGCCTGTGACATCGAGGCTGCCATACGGCTCCCTCTGCCTGCAGTGACAGTAGACAGTACTGTCTGAGTAAACAGGTGCCTACTCTGCTTTAGCGCACAGCCAACTTGGGAATGCTAAGATAGCCATCCAGGTTTTGGCATTCCCCTGCTTATGGTGTGTATAGGTTGAGAACCTGTGTTCTATCTAAGTTAAAACCATACATAAATGGAGAATCCATCACAAATTAACAAATATAAATAAATACCTATGCTATAATTATATGAAGGACAGATCCAAGTGGGGTCTTCTTTGTAAGTCTAATACATAGCAAAAAAGATAACGATACCGTTATCAAACAGATCAAACAGACATTACGTATTGAATGTACTCATTTATTCACAATTTATATTGCAAAGTATAAGTAAGACTTAGTCCTTTATATTGAATATTATTTACTAATTTCTCGCTAAGACTCTTCCACAAACTCCACTGAAGATGAACGCACTTGGGAGTCAGGAACATAACTAAAGAGGAGGCACCACTGCAAGTAACTCTCGCCCTCCCCCCCACCGTGAAGTCTTCCTGTATGTGTTAAATTCCTGTATGTGCCAGCTTTTACCAAGAACAAAAGAGACTTTTTCTGTGAGCTTGTGTGTTTGTCTAAGTGAGCTTGTGTGTGTCCGTGAACTTGTGTGTTGTGAGTTTCTGTGTCAGAGAACTTTCTGTGGTGAGGTTGTGTGTGTTAGTGATCTTGTATGTGTTTGTCAGTGGGCTGCCTGTATATTTCAGTGAACTTGTGTTTGTTTGTCTGTCAATTAGATTATCTGTCAGTGAGCTTCATTGTGCATGTTTGTTGTTATGCTCATTATACAATATCATTCCAGTTTTCCCTCAAATTAACAACATTTTGAGTTAAAAAATAAACACGCACGTACCTATACAATGCTTAAAATTGCAATTAAAAGATCTTCCAGAAGATTAGGCTCTAGATCCACGCTTGTCAGCAATAAAAACTGTTTATACCCAATCACATTAGTTCCTAAAAATATTAGCTCTTAAAAATATTCAGCAATTTATACTACGTCTATCTTCTCTATAGTTAGATTTAGATGCATACACCAAACTCTGTTCATGCTATTTAACCCCATTTGCATTCTCCTTAAAAAATTAAAAGCAAGATATGCCCTGGACCCCAATAATACTTGGCAAGTAGCCTCTATCCCATTCCTCGTCCCACTGGCAGTGGGGTAAAGAATAATGAAATAGACATCATGCCTCTTTAATTATTGTAGCTCGATAGGATCTAGGAGATGCTCAGTTTTCTGGGCCCTTTATTAAATTAAATATGTCCCCCAACCTTTTCCTTTTCTCTCTGACCTTTAGCATGCAACACTGTATCACCTAAATTTCATCTCTTGTTAATAAAACAAAGATAAGCACAAAATTATTTCATACCAATTCACAGAAACATATTCAATAGTAAAGACAAACAGGAATTAGGGGCACACCCGGAACATGCATTTTGCAGGAATGGTGCTGCCGAAGTGACCAGAATTTAAACATAATACAGACTCAGTTACAGCTAACACTTAAACATTAATTTTTAAATCTTATATCTGAAAATCACCTATCTCAGCAAACAAATATGGGGATTCAGTTCCACCATATGGCCTTATTGTGTTATGCCCACCACTACTTCACAGTACCCCAATATTAGTGGATTCTTCTCTAATTCCACAAATTAAAGAGTGCTAGTGCTAAATAAGCTAAAGTGTATGTAATAAAGGCAAGAGATAAAATAGGTGGTATACCGTAACACAAGTAGCAGACGGTACACTACTCGCCAGCCACCTACATACCCTCTTCCTGATGACAACTGACAACTGTTGGCGATGCAATCAGGCTGTTGGCACATAAGCCCATATATGGTGGACATGTCCGACCATTAAAAAATTCTGGGAGCACATAGCAAACTGATCAAATCATTAAACACACATCAATGTTACTTGTGCACCTTCTGACAGCAGCCAATCTCCTGATGCCCCTAAACTGGAAAAAATCTGTCCGGGACTAGATTTACAAAGTAGATTCCATCCAAGCCATGGAAAAACTGGGATCCTCCACCGCTCACAAATACTCCCTATAGAGGAAGGTTTGGGACCCGTGGCTAGAATTCTTACAGGGAGAAGCCAGGCCCTAATCCTCACCCCCGTCCCCCGCACCCATCCTCTTTTTTCTTCTCATCTTGCTCCACTCTTAAGTAGCTCTCACTCGTACTCCGCCTCTATCCCACGTATCCTGACCCTCCATATCCCAGGGGGATAGCAAAGGGCCAGAGAAAGAACATATCTCATGGAAAATAGGCCAGGGAGGAATGGGAGCGGTAGGGAGTGTCGTCTTCCTGTTGAAGACATGCCGGAAGGGCACGTATAGGGCCGTATTATTTAGTTTCGTATTCTGTTTTATTCCCTAGATGTTTTAGTATATTTTACTTTCATATTTCATAACACCCTTATTTGAGACAAGCGAAAGAGCTAACTCACATATGGATAACCTGTCTCGCTCTGTTTTCACATACTTCACTGATAATACATCCACTATACACTTAGTTGTATCTGGGTCTGACATACAAGTACCTCCATTTCGTTTGCACCATGACAGAACACACATACATGAACTGAGTGTACCTCTTAATTTCAACTAGAACCCTATTTGTATTATTGTGTATTTCTCTGATCAATATTTCCATGTATTTATTCATAATCTGTTAATCTATACTTGTTACAATCCATGATGTATCGAGAAGACGTGTTTTTCTCATGTACCTGTATCAATATACTTCTAAAAAGCATTTAAAAAAAAAAAAATTAAAATAAAGAATCCCAATTTTATAGACAAATAAAAAAAATAGCAGACGGTACAATCAGTCAGTTTTAAATAATTTTGTACTATACTCATAGCAATCTGTTTTACTTTATTTTCTTAAATTCATTTTCATACTAAATGGTGTGTAGCATTACATATTATCTTCACCACAATGTGTTCATAAAATGTAGGTTTAACTTGTTCTGTATTACTCATGCATACTGAACCCTAAAATTGTGACTACCGGGAAAACGAGAGGCCTGAATAATCTTGTCCAGTGACATTGAGCTAACCTCTATAGTGCAGCAACCAGACTAACTATATACACCTTGGACGTGAAGCAGATACTGTGACAAGTCTGTTAACTAATTTAGATTTCTAAAATATAAAAATAGCAAATGCATAGCTGATAAAAAGAGAATCAGATATATTTGCACCAAGTTGGGTTTTAGGGGACATTCAAATCGCTATATATACTTTAGCATAATGAAGCAGTGTTGGTGTATAGATCGTGCCCCCTGCAGTCTCACTGTTCAACTATCTGCCTTTTAAGAGTTAAATCACTTTGATTTTATAGCTATAGGCACACTTACACTGACAGAAGGTTTAGCAGTGAGAATGCAGGTATTTAATATATCCACCAAAACTGCTAAAATTGTTTTGATGCTTAGAAGGTCCCTTTCACCTTTACACTCAATATTCATTGTCAGTCGTGCTTTTTCTCGCGAATTCACAGGAAATTACACTGTAACGTGTTAACTAAAATGGTAAAAAAAAAAAAATAACTAGCAATGTAAATTAATAATTTTATTTAGTTAAGGGTCATTTTAAAAATGGATTCTTGGTGACTTGTAGCTAAGATTTTACCTAAAATTCATATATTATTTTATAGCCTGTTATAAATATCAGTTTATAACAGGGTGGATATGTTTAATATAGTAATTAAATACATTAATCTTGGGTAATGTAATTTGGTTGTATGTATGATGGGACAGAATGATTTTAAATAAATAAATGTTACTTAAAAACTTATCTTACCATGCAGTAACTATAAATGTTTAAAACAAAATCTGAGAATATCTTGTTGAAGTTTATGATTAATAGATATTTAGGGTTGCATGACAAATGATGGATGATTTGTTATATTTATGTTGTCAATACTTTCTGTGTGGTTGCTATATGTTTGCTTCTTTTAAAATAAAGGCATATTTAAAAAAAAAATGTAAAAAAATGAAGAGCTATTTTTGCCCAAAAGATAACCTTTTATGTGATTGTAAAATTAAAAGTGACTAAATACAATATTCCCCGTTTTTTGTTTTTTAACAATATTTGGGGCCTATGCTGTGCTAATAATTTCAACCCTAAGAAAATATATAACGCTCTATTTTTTTACTTTTGAAACACTTACCTATTCCTTATACATACTTTATTAGGGCTTTGGCATGTATTTTATTCATTTATGTCAATATTTATAAACAGTCACAAAGCACTTTTATATTTAATTCAATTCATATTCTATTCTCAAGTTAAACACAATTGATGTATATGTAATTCTGCTGTGTATAGGGTCAGTTTTAATTTCTTATAAAATTTCTTATAAATTGCATTATTACGGTCTTGAAAGGTCCTGCAATTAATTTAATTAATGTGCATATTACTTGAATTATTCACCAAACCTGTTATGTGAAGAACTGAAATGATTGCAAATCTAGAAAAAAAAAAAGAAAAAGATAAGTTGGGTAAATTTAATTTATGGTAAACAGTGTAGCACAAGTAAGTAAAAACCACAGGCCTCAACTTAATATTTTTTGATAGGCTTTTCAAGTGATTTTATATTTTGAAAAATATATTAATATTTTTATACATATTGATATATTTTTTATATATGAAAAATTATTTATATTTTAACATTTCAAAAATATAATTTAAAAATATTATACAATATAATATAATTTTAAAAGCTTAACCAAAAATATTGGATCGAGGCAATACTTATCTTTACAGTACTCCTGTTTTCAAGGCTACATCATCACACTTAATTTGGCATCTACAGAGAGATGCACTTTTATTTATTTACTCATTTATTATTATCATTTATAATGTGAATTTGCGCAGCGCTTTACAATTTTACAAGGGACGGAATCCAACAATAAAGTAGAAAAACAATTACCAGGAACTATAGTCTAATAAGGAACCTATTCAAACAAGATTGCATTAAAGACGATTATGAATATCTGAGTGTAAATAATTTTTGATTTGAGTGAGCCAGGTGTACAAAGTTAATAACTATCCAAAATCACTAACTTTTAAAACTACCAGTTTGTAACGGAATCTCTCAATACTAAATAATGAATCCGTAATATTTACAGTAGACAACGAGATTTGCATTTGCAGAAAAAAAACTGTGGTTAGTTACTAAATGTTGTGTCTGGAATAAACTGTGTTTATGGGACTGATTTTTGTTTCCTAAGATGATGAAAAGTTTAAGATTAAAGTAAGCCATTTTTTTTAAGGAATATGGATTTTGATTTTGAACTTAACCTATGAGATAAAGTTAAAGTTATATAAAGTATATAAAAAAAATCCTAATGAAAAGGTTAAAAAAAAGTTGATCGTGTAAGGAAGACTTTTAAAACTCCACGATCTGCTAAAAAATATACCAATTAACGAAAGGACATTTATCTGGTATAGAACAACAATTCTTGTATATTTCAGAGTAAAATTAATAATCTCCATGCAAAACAAATATTTACATGAAGAAAGATTGACTTTGTCAGCGTTTCTAATTGTGGGATTGCTAAACAACTGGTTTAGACATAGAAACATAGAAACATAGAATGTGACGGCAGATAAGAACCATTCGGCCCATCTAGTCTGCCCAAGACTGTTGCCTAATTACTGCAAGTTATTAATTTTGCTGTAAATTTGTGAATACATTTAGTGAATCAATTACTTGTTCTTTTGTTGTTGTTTTTTATCCAAAGGATAAATGATTCCTTAATTTAAATTATCAGTA